TTAAATACATTCTTGGATTACCTAACTCTGTTACCTATTATTCCCTCTGTGCTGAACTGGGCCTCCATCTTCTAGACTTGCGGGCATGGATCACCCACTATTCAATATTGGCTTCCCATTCATTTTAGTGCCCCTCCGAATAGCCTTATTACGCACTTGACTATGGACTCATATGTATCCAAGTGGGCACAGGCTATAACTTCTAAAATACGCTCAATTGGCATTGACCTGGATACTTTGGAAAATCAAGATGAGACCTTTATATATTGAACAATTCGTAGAAGAATTTGGGACACTGAAGCCCAAACAATCCAGGCAGGTGCCAGGATCACTTGCCCCCCCTTCCCTCGGCCTCAGATATGTACCAAACAGTACGGTGCACAATACTTTTCTAATTTGGTGACCCCGCTGCAACGCAGAGCCTTTGGGCTAGCCAGATTTAATGTTTTCCCCTCATCTTGGGTCTCAGGTAGATATAGAGAAATCCCGAAATGTGACAGGATTTGCAATTGTCCACTCAGAGAATCTGATACTTTAGATCGTATTCTGCTATGCTGTCCCCTTTACTTACATCTCCGACTACTTCTGATTAAGCCTTTACTGCCTAGGGCCAATTCTGATAGTGCAACTAGGTTTCTTTTAGCTGATAAGTCACCAGACGTTACTGTACAGACTGCTGATTTTTTTGTTCAAGATTTTGGTAGCAAGGAACTATTCCTAATATTGGTGTTTTAAGACTTACAGATGTAATTTTACCATGACGAAGTTTTATCTTATTTATATGCCAATAAAGGTTGTGTTTGTGTTGTGGTTAAATACTTAGAAGCTGAAAGACTGGTCTTAGTTAGTTTTTGGAAGACAAAAGTATCTTTGAAGTAAACTGGATTGGTTAAGGAAAATTTGGGAGATAGTGTAGTCAGGTTTGCTGCTTTGGTTAATAAAAAAGAAAGAAAATAAAGGTTGGGAAGCATATTAGATTCCACTGTTATGTTATGTCAAAAGACTTATTTGTGAGTAAAAAAGTAATTGTGTGCATTGTACTTATTTATTTACAAAATTTTTCTCATCTTTCAGCTTTCATAAAGGCTACCAATTGTGGCTAACAATTTAAAACACACAAGGTAAAATCACATTTTAAAACCATTAAAATAACTCCTCTCGAACACACATCATTATTACAATTAAAAGGAGAGTTAAAATATGTACAGATATAAAAACAGCAATAAAGAATGACTAGGAAGGAGGGACCACTGAGGGAATGTCAAATGGAACAAAAAAAGGTCTTCCACCCCCTGGCGGAAGACTGCAAAAGGAGGGGACGGGCAAGTCTCCCTAGGAGGAGAGTCCTAGAACTTTGATGCCGTGGCTGAGAAGATTCTCCCAGGCTGCAGAAGGTGGGAGTGCCCAAAACAGGTCCTCCAAAGATGACCATAAAGATGGTTGGGAAAGTTCCAAAGGGAGGAGGCAGCCCTTCAGCTATATTGGCCCTGAATCATACAGGGCTCTGAAGGTCAACGCCGGCACCTCGGATTGTGCCCTAAAACAAAGTGGGAGCCAATGTAGATGGGCCAAGATTGGCTTGATAGGGTCCCTACAACATGTTCCAGTCAACATCCTGGCTAA